TCGATTATTAACAGACCGTCGTCATAAAGCTAGAATATTGTTAAGCGTGGCGTTAAACAACAAACAAACAAACAAACAAACAAACAAACAAAACTAATCCAGCTATGACTGCGTGACCAGTAAAAAAAATGATTATTATTTTGTCGAACACTGGGGTAAGATGATATACACCCATGTAGCCGAGCACAGGAATACCCAGGGGAACGTTATAGCGTACATCCGTAACGGATAGGACTTGGAATTGAGTTCTCTCACACTGGAAACTCGTCACAGTTTAGAATCTGTCATATAAATATTGGTTTAATAAAAAAAAAATATAAAAAAAATACTCCTCCGCCTATATTGTTCCACAATTCTGGAATCAGGTGCCGTCTTTGTTCCCTTGGATTACTGATAATTAAAATTGGATCAAGAGTATAATCAGTCACACTACCCGAGACAAGGGAGTTGACTGACCGTAAAAGTCCAGGTGCCACCCTTGCCGAACAAGGCATGATTTTCGTTGATCGGGGGCATGGGTGGCGCCGCGATTCGCTCTGCAGAATTGCGTCCTTTGGGCACGCCAGAAACCTATGATTGTGGGTTCAAATCCCGGTTCGCCCTGATTAGGTTTCTAGGTTTGTCAGCACCATACACTCACTCACTCACTTTCGTCAATCGGACGTAGCCCCCCCCCCCCCCCCCCCCCCCCCCCCCCCCCATCCCGCAAATCCGAATTCGAACCTTGTTCGGACACTGGACCTTAACAGTCAGTTACCTCTCTTGCCTCAGGGATGGAACCGTCTCATACGCAGTTGTTTTATCCTTGATCCAAGGCTGAGCACGACTGGTATGAATTGTTGATCTTTGTATTAATATGTATAACTTTATTGCCAATCATGGCTCATTGTTATTGTCACTGACATGTGTTCTCCTTAACTAACATGTACTGTTCTTGTATGATTAGTTTTTTGTTTCCTTTCCCTGCAGACGCAATAGTGAATTTGCCGAATAGCCATTGTCTATATTTAACAACTTTCTCAAAGGCGTTGTCTATTTATAGAATCTCCATTGGGATCCATCCAATTTATACTTATCAGATAGGTACATACAGTGCTTGATCTATTACTTCTCTCATAAAAGTTGTTTGATAGAAGTTAATAAGAAACAAATAAATGTCAAAGCTTGCTAGGCATGGCCATATCATACATTCTCAACCAGATTACCTGGTCACAACTCAGCTTTTCATGACTTACAAATACAGCATTATGTTCAGATAACCATAAGATCTTAACAAGGACACAATCAATAAATTTGACCTGACATTATTCCTGTCATGAGATACACATGATAAAGAGATTAAATGCCACAATATTTCTTGATGTTACCATCCTTTTCACTTCAATGTCATGAGACATCATAAAAAAGGCTTGTTTCAACATAAATTTATACACAATGTATCTCCAAACAATTTAGCAAAAAAGACAATGACCTAAAACAGGGACCACTATTGATACATATGTATACCCCGGTATCTTTTCAGTGTCTGCGCAAGCATTGCATGAACTTGTTAGTTCCTGATCATGTACAAAAAAAGCAAAACAATGTACACTACAGTTTACTGTCTCTGTACATCCTCATATTCATTCATGAAAGAGCCTTTCTTTGTTATACAGTTATATAGAAATGTTCAATGGTATTGACTTCCCTTATGTTCAGTAAAGTATGTGTGTCTGTATAATCACACACACACACACACACACACACACACACACACACACACACACACACACTAACACTAACACTAACACACACTAACACTAACACACACACACTAACACTAACACACATCCATGTACACACACAGCCACATTATCTCTCCCTCCACCACCACACATACACACGCTTGTCACGGTAACCTGCATTTATTTTAATTGATTTTAAGCGTAAAAGGCACGACAACAAATGCAGCGAACCATCAATGTTGTAGACCTTGAAGGAATGACAACCGTCCAACTATAAGATTGTGTTATGAATGTTTCATAGGTTCGTGACTGTCACTTAATGTCAGCAAATACAACTCAAATGCCAAATGTAGTGTTTAAATAGAGACGAACTTTAAGTTGTGACACCACGCAAATAAACAGACCGTGTGTCAATACACTTCTCGTGGACAGTGTTAGTGAGTGAGTTGGGGTTAACGCCGCTTTTAACAACATTTAAGTTATATCACGGCGTGTCAGCGGAAAGCCCGAAGGGATGTAGGTCTCAGACGTTTACCACCTCGGTGAACCAACAATCATAGGTTTCTGGCTAGCCCAAGGGACGCAGCTCTGCACAGCAAATCGCGGCGCCTTAGAAGATTGGGCCACCCATGCCCCCTTCTCGTGGACATATTGATACATTCATGAAAGAGCCTTTCTTTGTTATACAGTTATATAGAAATGTTCAATGGTATTGACTTCCCTTATGTTCAGTAAAGTATGTGTGTGTGTATAATCCCAAATCATGAAAAGGCATTATACTGATCTGTATACCACGTTCCATCTAATATTCACCTAATTTTTGAAGTTTTTTTCTCGGAAACCAGCCATGCCCTCATTTTCAATAAAGTCAAATTCTCATGATAATAAATAAAGATATATAACAATATGAATCCCAAATCCTAGTTCCCCACTAGTTGATCTGTCTGGCAAGTTTCAACAATAAATATTCAACGGTTTACGAGAAGGACAGACGGACGTACGGACAAGCTGATCGCAATATCCGCCCGCTTTTTTTCAAAACTGGGATGTTCCAGTTCATCAATTCATATGTCATATAACATTCATAGGGATGTAGGTTTTATAAATGGTCTCGAAAACATGTCCTTGTATACAGTTTCTCTCTGAATGTACGAGTTACTTTCCTACAAAATGTCAACTTCAGTGTACTCAGTAACCAACTTCACCATTTGTAGGGCGAAAGAGTCTGTCATACACAATTCGACAAGCAAAGAGTGTTCCTATATTATTCATATTGACAGGGTTTCTGGATGTACAAGTAATGTGAGGTGAGGTGAAATGGGATTTAACGTCGCGTCCAAAATTATTGCACTTATATAGCGACGTGCATGCACGTGTGTGTGTTTGTGTGGTTGCTTGTACTAGTCCGGACTGATGCCGATTTAAAGTGCTAGCTCACTGAGATACCATGCTGCAGTTTAACATGAATACCCCACTCAGACACAGCATACTGACTCCGAACCGACCAGTCCTTGTTTTAGCCCCTTAATGCCGAGCGCCAGACAGGGCAACAACAAGTACCATCTTTTAACGTCTTTTGGATCGAACCCCGGACATTCCGCTCTCCGGGCGGACGCTCTACCACAAGACCACGGAGGCGGTCTACAAGTAATGACCTCAATGACCTAATAATTGCAAATAAAATAACTTCACAAGGAACTGACATTAATGTTGATACAAAATACTGACAAAATCTATAGTGGGTCCGACAAATTCGTCCGGACTAGTTTCCCCCCGTACACTGCTTCAAGTACAGCCGTGCGGGTACGTGTGAACCATGTTGTTTTATTATGCATCACAGACGCCCAAACGAACAGGATTTCGAGAAAATAAATATGAATAAGGGTGGGTTTTTTTCATCACAAAGAGAGGGTCTGTTTTGTCACCATACATTGTGACACATCAGCATACGCTCTGACAATACGTTCTATTTACTAAAAGGGTGGTCGTTGTTCCGAATTAACTACTGCATGCCGACGTGTGGACACAGCAAGACTATGTGCATTCGCTTTGTAACGAAATGTATTGACATAGGATATTACGTATTTTGTCCAACATAAACATGTACTCGTCAAGGAGATATTTTGAATAGAATTACAGAATAGAAAAAAATTGTCGTCTTTGAAACATATAGGATTGGATCTGAAAAGCGTGTTTGTCAGTCTGGTCACATGTTTCATGGAACGCTTTGAAGAGGGTTTCTTCTGAGCGTGTGTAGTTTCAACGTGACAAAAATATACCTCCACATCTTTACATAAAACTTAAGATTGACCCGCAAGTTGATATAGAATATCGTACATCGGTTGTTTTTGATAAACAATTATTGAAAAAAATAATTCTTCCTCAGGTTTCATTGCCACTGAATATTTGATTGTCATCATCATTCTCTCCTGCACAAGTCTCGCATGCATCAGCACGTTTAACGTCCAGACATGTGACATAGTTGCTCATATGTCGACAATGTCTTGCACCATCATCCGATGGTTACCTCAAAGAGTATCTCAGTATTCAAACGTTTGCGTACGCTGTATTGGTGGTTTTAATATTGTTTCAGATGCAAACAGCCTTACTTGAAATGTGACATTATTGTGGTAGTAAACGTGCATGTTGAATTGGTACCTGCCCGCCTTCAAGTAAACAATTCCTTTTGTCTTCCGTATATGTGAATGTCTCTATGCTAAATCAGTAGGGTGATAGAAACAATTGTTGCAAAGTTGCATCAACATATTACAAAGTAGATGGATAATAACTACTGTACGGCAATAGCGACGTGTCGGTATAGACCATATACTGTTGAGAGCATGACTAAATAACGAGTGAGTGAGTGAGTTTGGTTTAACGCCGCTTTGAACAGTATTCCAGTTATATCACGGCGTGTCAGCTTAATGTGGGAGGAAAGCTCGAAGTGATGCAGCTCTAAGACGTTTACCACTTCGGTGAAACCCACGAGCTCGGGTATGGTGCTGACAAACCTAGAAACATAATCGGGGTGAACCGGATTTCGAACCCACAACCATAGGTTTCTGGCGTGCCCAAGGGACGCAACTCTGCACAGCGAATCGCGGCGCCTTAGACGACTGGGCCACCCGTGCCCCCTTCATACACAGGAACATCAAAGTCAACTAAGATGGATTTGTTAGACAGGCACTGTGATTTGTCTGATTGCATATCCCAATTTTGCTGATCGTTGCTCTCAGTCTCTTAAACGTTGGTCCAGTCTCGATGTTTAAGTCCGCCTTGATAGAACATCATTCTATTTCAGCAACTTGTTGCCATGAGGAATCCGGTGGACAAAGAATGCTATGTCAGACATATCAAAGAAACCTTTGAAGAGTTGAAAGTGAAAATAGGAGGTATCGAACAGGTACGTGAAGTTTTGTTTTAGCTTCATATTTACAGGAATGAGTGAGTAAGTGAGCGAGTGTGGTTTTACGCCGCGTTTAGCAATATTACAGCAATATCACGGCGGGGGACAACAGCAATGAGATTCACATATTGTACCAATATCGGGAATCGAACTCGGGCATTCAGCGTGACGGGCGAACGCTTTAACCACTAGGCTACCCCACTGCCTATTTTATTAAGAGGAAGTTTTTGGAATGCGTGGAATTAATATCATGTGGATTATCCAGACCTCAAATGGTTTGCTTGATCTTTTTTTTAATTCACAGTTGAAAATAACCCAGTTCATTTATGTTGAAAAATGAGTTATTTTCAACTGTGAATACCACTATCCAACACGACCCATTTGAGGAAGAACTTCATTCCTTATAGTTGCATATCTATCTTCAAAGGTTCAATAATGAAAGCAAATGTCATCTGAAGTTTACTGAAAAAACAAAAAGTGAAATGCTGCACTCCCTCTGTCACTCTCATACACGACACATGTGAAATTGGGGAATGGACATTCAGGCGAGGAGTGCTCATACACTTTTGCAGCAAACAGGCTTCCCTCCTGACCTCTTTCTTCGTGTTCTTGAATCGGAATTTCTCAACAGATTAGCAAAATAAGGTAATTTGGCCATGATTGTTTGATTGTTTGTTAAGTAATTACATGTATATTGCACTGGCTGCATACTATGCTGATTTAGGTGCACATCTGGTCCACACCTGTGCTTTGTTCTGAGGGCTTCTTTGTTTTTTACTTCTGATATAAGTATTTGCTGATGGTACAGTGATTCTATTCAAAGACTACCCAATGACATCGTCTGCTTGATTGGTTGGTTGGTTTGTTATTTAAGGCCGCACTCAGCAATATTCCAGCTATATGACGGCGATCTGTAAATAATCGAGTCTGGACCAGACAACCCAGTGCCTCACATCATGAGCATCGATCAACGCAATTGGAATACGATGACATGCATCAACCAAGTCAGTTAACCTGACCACCCGATCCCGTTAGTCGCCTCTAACGACAAGCAAAGTCGCCTTTTACGGCAAGCATGGGTTGCTGAAGACCTATTCTACCCCGGAACTTCACGGGTCATTTGGCCATGAAGCGTGATATATTGACAATGTGATGTCGTGCTATAATGGTCAAATAGCCGCTTCCATTTCACTGATTTACCCACCCGAACGAGAAATAAATGAAACCGGTGAATCCGCCTCATGTGTTTCGTATTTAGATTTATGCATAGGGATTATAAGTGCCACAAACACTCCACAAGACTGTATGACAAGAGGGATGATTTCAGCTTTCCAATAGACAACATTCTCTCATGTCGAGGGGCCACGGATGGCCCAGTCGTCTAAGGCGCCGCGATTCGCTGTGCAGAGTTGCGTCCCTTGGGAACGCCAGAAACCTATGATTGTGGGTTCGAATCACGGTTAGCCCCAGACCGCCTCCGTGGTCTTGTGGTAGAGCGTCCGCCCGGAGAGCGGAAGGTCCAGGGTTCGTTCCCGGGCCGCGTCATACAAAAAGACGTTAAAAGATTGTACTTGTTGTTACCCTGTATGGCGCTCGGCATTAAGGGGCTAAAACAAGGACTGGTCGGCTCGGAGTCAGTATACTGTGTCTGAGTGGGGTATTCATGTTAAACTGCGGCATGGTATCTCAGTGAGCTAGCACTATAAATCGGCATCAGTCCGGACTAGTACAAGCAGCCATACACACACATACACGTGCATGCACGTCGCTATATAAGTGCAATAATCTTGGACGCGACGTTAAACCCAATTTCACCTCACCTCACCTCACGGTTCGCCCCGATTATGTTTCTAAGTTTGTCAGCACCATACCCGTGCTTATGGCTTTCAGCGAAATGGGAAACGTCTGAGACCTGCATCACTTCGGGCTTTCCTCCAATATTAAGCTGGAAAGCCGTGACATAAATGAAATACTGCTAAAAGCGGCGTAAAACCCAACTCACTCACTCACTCACTCTTATCCGGGTAATATGAAGCAACCATTTGAGTGTTTGTTTCTTTGTTGTTTAACGACGCACTCAGCAATATTCCAGCTATATGACGCCGGTCTGTAAATAATCGAGTATGGACAAGACGATCCAGTGATTGACATCATGAGCATCGATCCATGCAATGTGGATACGAGTCATGCATCAACCAAGTCAAAGAGTCGGATCACCCGATCCCGTTAGTTGCCCCTTACGACAAGCATAGTCGCCTTTGTACGGTAAGCATGGGTTGCTGTGTGTGTTCTGATATGAGATTTGCATTTTTTTACCCTCGACCAAAAAGGTACATATAGTTTCCCAATGAAAAATCCCTGTTGAGTTATATACATTTATATACTGGAGAATATTTCACATGAAAGAAAAGAACAATTACCAGTATGACATTTTCATAAACAAATATCCAAATGTTAGAAACATTTCATTTTAATACTATTTCCAGTAATTATATTTGCTTCTTGTATGTGTTTTACCCTCCAAACACGTGGGGTATATTCGATGATTTACAGACAAACAAAGAGGTGTTAGATGGATAAGATAAGAGGAAGGACTAGGTGCGACATGACAATCAACAAAACACTAGCCATGTTCTGAAAGGGTGCGAAACAACCACGAAAGTTGACAGGGGTGTGTATTTACAGTGCGAGATGACTTGATCGTGACCCCCACGATTGGTCAAACATTCATCTATTCATGTATAGAGTCAATCTCTCAATGGCAGTTTCAGGCAGGTGTGTCCGCTACTCGTACAACGCCTGGCCCAGTTCTGCAGAAGTAGCGGATGGTCCTTGAAATCGACGAACCCGTCTCCCTATCATGTAAAGATGCGCTTTAGGTACCAGCAAGGCGCAAACATTATTGGCGCCACTATGTTGTCTCGTTAGTACTGTCCACTAACTAACAATATGCAGTTGTATTTATAGTTATCCAGCCTAATATGTTTACAAACCCACCCCTAAATATGGCATGTTGCCTCACGTTGACGTTGGCTCGGACACGTCCACGTTTCGACGACCTATCTAGACCTGGTCTTAAAATCTGTTTCGGTGGATAATCTAGACTGGTTATTCTCTTGCACTGACGACCCTGGACTTGTGTTGTTGTCTTTGGGCATCCTGTGAAGGGTCGGGCATGAAAGAAATGTGTCTGCAAAAACCGGTTCCAAAGTCCGCAAATCACAGACTGAGACACATTCAACATATTGGCTGCCTCTCGCTGAGTTTGAAGCATGCCAATAGCGCGTATGCGCTCATCGCGTACTTGACGACGCGTTCTCAATCTGATCACAAATGCCTCATTATAGCAATAGCAGGGCGCTTTCCTGTTACCATAGATAAGGACATACTAATGGCTCAAGAACAATATGACGACCGGTACCTTTCCCTGAAGTATCAAAATGAAGCAAGACTTCCTACCTACATTCACGGAGGAATTGCATGGTCCACGTTTCTGATGGGTTGGAGTGTTAGTTTTTAGTAGTCAATTTTCAAAACCTCATATTCTCCTGACAATGGATTAATTATATTTCGTGATGCCCTACTTCCGTTAGAGAGTATATTTCACATTTGTTCTGATTCTTGTCTCCACAGCTGTCTTTGTCCTGAACTTATACGTTTAGAAAAAAGATATTTTCTCTCATTTACTTCTAAAGCACAATGCAACCGTAGGCCAGATCGCTGAAGACTGGATCGACGTGAAGAAGGTTTGCCCCATTGAGCCGTGGGCTGTGAAGGAACTCCTTGGAGATGAGATCGACAGCTTCTGCCGCTTCCACGACGTCTACTTCGTCGGTCTCGTGCACACAGGCAGAGTCGACCGAACAGGTATGTATTGTCTTGCATTATTGATTATGTGACACTCTAAATTGTAAATACATATTAAATGTTACGAGATTGTCCGAGTGGTATTTCCGTTTATTACTCGCCCGTTTAAGATTCCACTATTTAGTAACAATACGCTGGTATTTTACAATGTTTGATACCAATGCGCGTACAAATATACTGCCGGAACTAGATTCACAACAAGTATTGAAAACTCTAAAATATCGCTGAACTTATAGAGATGAACGATTACTGAGAGGAGCCAATGCAAACTTATCTTCCCATCAGGGAGTAAACTGACTATGAAAGTTTAGTTTCCACCCTTGCCGAACTAGGCAGGAATGATGGAGTTACTTTTTGGCTGGACTAACGAGTCTATGCATAGTCCAATCAAAATCGCGCACCGAAATCGAAATCCGGTTAGTAAATTGTCGTGCAGACTTCGGTCGATTGCAGGATTTGCAAAGCATGTGCACTGCCAACTCGTTGTCAACAGATAATGTCCAATTGCAAGTCTTTTCATGTTTCTAATCAATGTGCTCACTTGATTTCATGCACTTCGCGATGTAAGACCCGTATTAGCACAATATAGATCTTGATTATCGATCAGATCGTCTTGACTGGGCGCCGCCGTTTTGTTTGAAACAAATGCAAGTGATACGAAGGGTGGAATCTGATTGGCCCATAGGAGAGGCTTAAAAGGGACATCACTCATAATAAAATTGGTGGTTGCTTTAAGCGACAAAAAACCCATACCATTATGATTTATGGGTAGTATGTTAAGGCCACTACTTAATATGCACATTTCATTAATAACAACTAGTAATACATTAATATATCATGTAATAGACGAAACTAGTTAAGAATGTCTACATCATAAACCATAATGCGCCTACATCCATGCCGAGCTTATTGGATAGTTATGCACGTCTACATCTCACGTCTACTCCTCTAATCTGTATATGAAACTTCAATCGATGAACAGTACTTAATCGCATGCGGTAAGTATTAATGTCGAAAGTTTATTGAGTGACACTGATTGTGGTAGCACTGGTTTTGTCAACTTTACTTTTACTTGTATTATCTCGCCTTTCAAAATTTGTTGTTTTTTTAAGCTAGGACAATCTGAATCTCACAACATTATCTTTATTATAATCATCTCATACGTATAGCACTTTACCTTATACTTAACAGACTTAATGATTATTACAGCTCCATCCAGGCGACGCAAACGTGCAGCGGCTGCTCAGCTAATTGTTGCAAGCGCTTGCTGCTGTAACCACTGTTGCGGCTGTCACGATCAATTGGCACAAGGACCGAGAAAATAGTCACCCTCAAGAGTAACAAGTCTCCAGGGTCGGATTTCAATAAGGCCAACCGATCATGCCAAAAGTGTGCATTCTCAAAATTCCAATTGATGTTGTCATAAGAAGGTAAATATGCATATTTACCACAAAGTTGCAATAAACCAATGTTTCAAACCAATTTCTTTGTGAAAAAAATGTTGTTTTTGCACAATTAGAAACTATTTCTTTACTATTTCCAACAACATTCAAGCTTACGTGAGTACCAGATCTAGTTACATGTTGACTTACATACTGTTGTGTTAGTAAGGTATGGTGTCAAGAATGTCTTCCAACTGTATGTGACTCCGTAGTCAACACTTCATCTGTTTAACTCAACATGTAACACTCAAACATACGAGACTAGTGCTTAACCACAATTAACCCGTGAAGATCCGGGGTAGAATAGGTTTTAAGGAACCCATGCTTGCTGTAAAAGGCGACTGTGCTTGTAAAAGGCGACTTACGGCATCGGGCGGTCAGGCTCGCTGACTTGGTTGATGCATGTCATCGATCCCAATTGCGTGGATCGATGCTCATGATATTAATTACTGGATTGTCTGGTCCAGACTCGATTATTTACAGATCACCGCCATATAGCTGGAATATTGCTGACTGCGGCGTTAAACAACCAACCAACCAACCAATGAAACAGACGATGGTAAAGACCAACTGATCGATGTCATTGGGTAGTCTTGGAATACAACCACTGTACCCTCAGCAAATACTTATATCAGAAGAAACTTAGGAATGTAGGAACTAGCTCGATACAGACAGGGGTGGCTCTTCTTCTGTGGAGATTTCCAATTCATTTCCAATCCAGATACATTCTGAACTCAGAATAACAAAAGTCGAAAAGTCTTTTTTTTGGTGAGAACTGAAGGATTATCTAAGCACTTGGCTTTTATTGTATTATCTCTTCCTCCACTGAGTGTACCCTCAATTTACCCTTCTGAGTGAGTGAGTGTTTTACTATATGTAGATAACATTGGCAGGCAAACAAGTGGTTGATAGTATGACCCACGATACAACGAGGGGCACCGTGACACAGTATCAGCCAGATGAGCCATTTTAATATGGTCGGCTTCTACGCAAACGCACACTGAGTCTTCATGGGATTCTTCGAGCCAAGAGGCAGCCTATTGGTTAAAGCATTTGCTCGTCACGTCGAAGACTCGGATTCGATTCCCCACATGGGTAGAATGTGTAAAACCTGGTGTCTCCCGCCGTGATATTGCTGCATTATTTCTATAATGTCCTCTTTATCAATTATTTTTGATGAAATGATCGCGTGGATTATTGTTAAAAATGCAATATATATGTCCTCTTTGTCAATTATTATTGATGAAATGTTTGATTGATTGATTAACACCGCGCTCAGCACTATCCCAGCGACATGACGGCGGTGTGTAATAAACGAGTCTTGACCACACAATTCAGTAATTGAATCATGTTCGCAATTGGGATACGATGACATGCATCAACCAAATCAGTGAGTCTATCCTCCCGATCCCTCCCTGACGTCAAGCATGGTTTGTTGCTGAATCCAAAGCCGGATCTCCAGAGATTCTTTATTAATTATACACGACATAATCTTCTACAGAAAACTCAATAAGGCGAGAAAATACGTACTTAAGTGTCCAAGTTTTTACACGAATTGTCGGGCACCGTGATATTAGTTAACATCGAATACAATCATTTACAAACAGTCGTATTTGTACATCGTGATGGCTCAAAAGTAATGAAGTGATAGCGTGAATGAATTCTGCTCACTATTGCCGGAGTAGTTTTGTCATATCTGCATATTATTGAGGACGTTATTTGAAAGGATCATCAATCCGATTTCATTTGAAAAAAAACATCAATTGGAAGAAAGACAAAACATATAGAGAATGTATTTTCCAAAAATAATACCAAATGTGTCGTTTTAGCATTAAGTAATCATATGTTTATCGCACAGGCTGCATACTATGCTGGTTTAGGTGCACATCTGGTCCACACCTGTGCTTTGTTCTGAGAGCTTGTATGTTTGTTTGTCTGTTTGTTTAACGCTGCAGACAATCCAGTTCCTGACATCATGAGCATCGATCCACGCAAATGGGATAAGATGACATGCATCAACCAAGTCAACGGGCCTGACCACCGGATCCCGTTAGTCGCCTCTTACGACAAGCAAAGTCGCCTTTCACGGCAAGAATGGGTTGCTGAAGAGCTATTCTACACCGGATCTTCACGGGTCACCATCAGCAAATACTTGTGTCAGAGGAAGTAAGGAATGTAGAGACTAGATCGATACAGAGAGAGGTGGCTCTTCTTCTGTGTAGATTTCCATTAGAAATACATTCTGAATTCACAATAAGAAGCAAGTTGAGAACTTCAAGTCTTTTCGCAGAATTGAGGGATTATCAAATCACTTGGCCTTGTCTTTATAGAATCTGCCCCTCCATGGAATTTACCTTCTACCATTCTGAGTGAGGGAGAGAGTTGTTTGACTTTATGGCAGTCTGTAGACTTGGGCAGGCAAACCAGTGGTTAATAGTATGACCAACGAGGGGTACCATGACACAGTGTCAGCTGGATGAGGCATTTTAACATCTTCGGTTTCTTCGAAAATGCCCACAGAACCTTAAAACATGAGATTGTTTGCGCGGTTTCGTACGCGTGTGTTTAAAGCGTTGGCTCGTCACGCCGAAGACGCGAGTTCGATTTCCCAACATTTGTACAATGTGTAAAGCCCGTTTCTGGTGTCTTCCGAAGGAATATTGCTAAATGCGGCGTAAAACCATACTCACTCGCTCATGGGATCCTTAACATACAATTGCCACACTAATACAACTATATAAAATCAAACACATCAAAATATATCAAATTTATCAATACAAATTGATCAATGGATTGACTGATTAACGACGTCCCCAGCAATATTCCAGCTACATGACGCCGGTTTGTAATAATCGAGTTTGGACCACACAATTCAGCAATTGAATCATCGATCTACGAAACTGGGATACGATGACATTCATCATCCAAATCAACGAGTCTCACCACACGATCCCTTTTAGTCACCCCTTACTTTAAGCATGAGCTGCTGAAGACCAAGCTAAACCCGGATCTTAACGGATCCTTTCTCAATTATACATAACATAATCTTCAGACAGAAAACTTCAATAGTGAAGCAAGAAAAGAAGTACCTTGTATCCACGGTTTTCACAAGGGGCGGTCGGCTAGCCCGTCATGGGTACAATGTGTGAAGCTCATTTCGTGTGTCCCCCACCCTGATATTGCTGGAATATTGCTAAAAGCTCAGTAAAATCAAAACTCACTCACGTTTTTCCCAAGATTTGGCGTTCACTGTAACATCGAAAAAAATTCTTTACACACAGTAGTATCTGTACATCGTAATACAATGAGCGATAGAGTGAATGAATCCTGCTTAACACTGCAGTCAGCATATTAAGGATGGCTGCAAAAATATTATTTCGAAAGGACAATTATCAATACGATTTCAGTTGAACAACAACAATTAGGAGAAAGACAACAATTGAAGAATATCTGCACATTAGACCTGGTGTATCGCTTTAGCATTACAAAATTACATGTATTTCACACTGACTGCAAAATGTGTTGCTTTAGGGGCACAGGTGGTCAGGTGGACCAGATCTGTGCTGTGTTCTAAAGACTTCCATTGATCAACTCGTCGTAAGTTCAAATCCCGCATCAGGATCCTTCAGCATCCTCATCACCACAGATTCCTAGTCACTGTACATATTATGTAAATACAATGTCTGTGAAACAAACAATCTGCAGGGGCAAGTATTTCAATGTCAAACAAGCGCAAGCTATTGCAGTACACAAATGCATTATCCAGCCATGCCTGTAATCACCAATAATGCTCTAAAGAATTCCATATAGTATTTTGTTTTTTGGCCGAGCAGGGGTGATTAAGAGATTCAAGAGTTTGTTTACAATCAGACTGGATCTGTTTTCAACATAACGAGACTGAACAAGTGAAATATTCATTGCACGGAAATTCTACTCATGCACCTTGAGAACCCATTTTCAACTGGGACAATCCAATTTTTTATATGAAACATCTGTGCTAAAAATAGACATCAATTGTAGTAACAAAAATAGAAATTGGATAATGCATGCTGGTAAAAAAAATAATTGTCCCAGATAATTCGTGGAAAACATTATTATGGTTCAGGCTGCTGAAGAGAAAACAAAGTTTTCTTCCACAAAAGTTACATTGTTGCAAGGTGTTTCTCTAAAAAAAAATCAAGCCCACACCTTTAATTTAATAACACATCTGGTATTGATAGTCGGTCCCTATGTTAGATACTGTTTAGATATGGTGTATCTAAAAAAGGTATGTTTAGTAATCTGGTGGCAACATCTTAAACAGTAGTCTTCCTTAAGGGCAAGTGCCCGTCTTGTATTCACTGGAATAAAGGAACATCATCCCCAAAACGAGCGTAGGACGAACTTGCTTCCATGTTGCATTTAGATATACATGTTAAAGCAAAATTCAACCGTTCGCCACCTGGTGGATTGCACCGCCAACTGCTATCGTGATCTTTTGATCCGTCACTGAAGCCAAACTACAACTCCCTGCCTGTTGGGTTACACCCCATCCTTCCCCTTATTCTCTTACTGGGTTAAGCATAAACTATGTTAGAGAGTGTTACTACCCGATCCCGTTAGTCGCTTCTTACGACAAGCATGGTCGCATTTTAAGTCCATCACTTGATCGCTGGTTTGCCTACATGCCGGCGTCGAAATGCGGGAGTACTGCCATGACGGCTCAATCATCAAACACAGTATCTTTTAATATGCAATTGTCTGAATTGCGGGGAATTCCGGTGGGACAGGACGTGCTTCTTTTCTCGTGAATACATGGTGTCATGACTAATTTTCAGTGATACACTCATATTTCTCACCCCATTTTTGGCCTTTAACGACCAATAGTCGAGACTAGTTATTCTCTGACGCTTTAGATTTAGGAGTATGTATACGGATTTTACATCTGTAACACAATGGCATCGCTGACATAGAGACAGTTTGTTACTACTACATCATGGCACTCTGTGTGCTCCTGGAGGGCACATTAGTGTTTTGACATACTTTAGATCCATACTATTAAGGTATAAACACACATAGGGTTTTTGAACGTGTTTCACTGATCGTAATGCACCTAAAGAAGATGTTTTAGTCACTCGCTCTAAATAACAGGCATTGAAACAAATGCAATTGCTCCGACAACAGCAGCCAGAAATGTAAACAATATTATTATAAATTTGTCTGATTCCGCATGAAACTGTATGTACATGTATGTCCGATAGGGTACTTGTTTTCGAGATGGGGTAGAAATGGTTCCCACCTTGGTGACATAAGTACATTCCATTCTGTTGTTTTTTTGGTTTTATTAGTGAGTGAGTGAGTGAGTATGGTTTTACGCCGCTTTTAGCAATATTCCAGCAATATCACGGCGGGGGACACCAGAAATGGGCTTCACACATTGTACCCATGTCGGGAATCGAACCCGGGTCTTCTGTGTGACGAGCGAACGCTTTAACCACTAGGCTACCCGACCGCCCCTGGTTTTATTAAATACATTTACTTTATATAATTATATGGGCCGAGGGGTAGCCTAGTGGTTAAAGTGTTCGCTCGTCACGCGGAAGACCTGGGTTTGATTCCCCACATGGGTACAATGTGTGAAGCCCATTTCTGGTGTTCCCTGCCGTGATATTGCTGGAATATCGCTAAAAGCGAGAAGACAAGCATATCCACTCACTATATAAAACCTAGTTTTATCACCACGAGTTAGTCTGTTTTTGTAATATATGTACTATATCAAGGCAACTACTTAAGATACTTTTTTATCATTTATAACAACTAGTGATGCATTGATATCATGTAATAGACGAAACCAGTTAAGGATGTCTACATTATACACCATCATGCGCTCACGTCCACGCCGAGCTAAACTGATAATTAAAACACGTCTAAAAAATCTTTGAAAACTTGTCAATATTATGACAAGATTTTGAATGGAAGTTTCACATGAAAACGTGAGTAGAATTCAAATTTACCTCATCATCTTTGATGTATGTACATACTGCTCGGCATTGAGTGAGAAAGACGCAAGCATGACAAATTGAGGCAGTAGAGAACAATATGAAGAATGAAAGCCCATATCTCGTAACAGGCCTAGGTGATGCTCACGTTAACACTCAGCTTAATTTGAAACACAGACAAAGACGAACTTGTTGAATACATATGAACAACATACACTGTGACATCAGGCGTGGCACTTGTAAATATAGAGATGTTGGAGGGACAATATTGACACAAGCAAAGCTGAAGAAATGGTATCACCCGACCATGTAGACGGTGTATTGTAACGATATTTGAGTTGGATATGCTGTGAATCATTTTGAATTACGATGTTTTTGTCACACAAAGTGTGAACATAGACAGTATGAACCACAAACCTATACAATTATCTAACTACATGTACGTCTCCAATATTATGTCATATTAATTGCCTTTAACATATACGTACCTTCCTACCAATATGGACCGCCTCCGTGGTCTAGTGGTAGAGCGTCCGCCCGGAGAGCGGAAGGTCCGGGGTTCGATCCTCGGCCGCGTCATACCAAAAGACGTTAAAAGATGGTACTTGTTGTTACCCTGTCTGGCGCTCGGCATTTAGGGGCTAAAACAAGGACTGGTCGGCTCAGAGTCAGTATACTGTGTCTGAGTGGGGTATTCATGTTAAACTGCGGCATGGTATCTCAGTGTTCTAGCACTATAAATCAGCATCGGTCCGGACTAGTACAAGCAGCCACACAAACACACACACGTACATGCACGTCGCTATATAAGTGCAATAATCTTGGACGCGACGTTAAACCCTATTTCACCTCACCTCACCTCCTACCAATATGATAAGACATCAACGCCAGAGCATAATCTTGGTTGGTTGGTTTGTTTTTTAACGCCACACTCAGCAAAATTCCAGCTATATGACGGCGGTCTGTAAGTAATCGCGTCTGGACCAGACAATCCAGTGATTGATATCATGAGCATCGATCCACCCAATCCCGATGACATGCATCAACCAAGTCAGCGAGCCTGACCACCCGATCCTGTTAGTCGCCTTTTACGACAAGCATAGTCACCTTTTACGGCAAGCATTGGTTGCTGAAGACCTATTCTACCCCGGAATCTTCGCGGGTCCAGAGCATCAATCTCGATTATCTGCCCAAGTTCACTAAAATCCAGTTTTAGTTCTCGCTACTGCTGAACAAAGATTTGAGTACATCCCATCATGGGGGACTCAAGAACGACATTTCGCGAACTTTGACCGACCAATAAAATGACAAACAACACGTTCACATTAGCCATTCAGAAGGCAGCTTTCTCGAGTTTTGTGCCGACTTCCTTTCCAGACCACGCTTTGGAAAATATCAAATCAAAATTTGAAAACTGACAAAAACCGAAATGCTGGAATGTCTAGTAGACGGCCGAGATTGTATGGCAGTATTTCCCGCGGAAAGTCTCTTCCGTTTCAGATGGTTGTTCAAATGAAGCAAAGGATAGACGATGATTCCGACGGAATCAGTCGTACAGTCCGTTACTGTCGCTCGGAATACCCCGTGTTAAACGTTTCCATGGTGTATGATTAGAAAACACAGTCCGATGGCGACTTTCCCAATCTGGTAAGCGTCGTTCTGATTGGTCGGAGGAAATTTAATGTCCGCAATGGGACGTCCTCAGATCTTTGTTTAGTGGAAGCGAGAACTAAGATCCGATTCAATGCGATTCTTTCCTGTCTAATCAAAATTGATTGAGCGGAAAAAAAGGCAAACTAGTGGTGAAATTATATGTATTGAAAATCAGTGATGACACCAGGTGTTCGTGAAAAGAATAAGCATGTCCTTCTCTACCAGTTGTACCCGTCACTTTAAGAAGAACAATAATTTGACAATTTCAATAACAAATGGAAATCACTGCTAATAGTCCATTGTACGATCCTGACAAAAAATATACAAACTGAAAGAGTAACTGTGCTTCATGTAAAGTGATGTAAATCTTATCCTGTTGAAAATAACATCATATTTGGTCCTACGTATGACGTTTTGTCAGAACAAATTCATTGACAAATCCCATGCCCAGTAACAGCAGACACAGCGACACGCCCGAAATGAGGGATGCTGCAAGAACCCAATTAAATGGGCATCATTTGCGTTGATGCAGGCGAGGTAGCGGCGGGACACGGAAGACACCATATGACTGTAAACAGCCTGGAAGGATGTTGTTCGAAATGTCAAAGATGGATTAGCCCAGTTAGCCTTACCGGCTGGTTTCGGTCCTACAATACGCGTCGATTCATCTTATCCCAGACATGTTCTATATGGGGAGAGGTCTGGAGAAACAGCCGGCATGGCAGTACAGCGACGTTATGCTGTCTCGCAAAGTCTGTGGCACTTGCAATGCGTGGGCGGACATTATCCTGCTGCAACCTGACGTTACATCCCTGCATTTGAACAAAGGGAACAACATTATCATAATCTCCAAAGATGTCGGTTGCGTACGCCTTTCAAATTGCCGTTAACAATGACGACCTGTGTTCTCCCGTGAGTTGTGATGCCACACAATCCCATGACACTTCAAACCTAAACTGACGACGTGTCCACTCACACACACACACACACACACACATACACACACACACACACACACACACACACACACACACGCTTACGTGGCTATGTGAGTGCAATAATCATGAATGCAAGATGAAGCCTCATCTCACATGAAACATTTACAATAGCTGAACTGCAACTAAAGGGAGGCAACTCGTGTTTCCTTACCTTGTTAAAAGGAATTTTAAAGTTACATTGTACATTAAAAATGTTTTCAGTTATTTAATAAACAAACGAATTTACCTCAGTCTCTTTGTCGTTGCAGTTCTGCTTGAAACATTCTTGGTCATATAATGCTAGTGAAATTAGTGATGTTTTGTTCTGTTTAAACTTGAAATATTAGGATTAACTAATAATATATTCATTGTATAGTGTATATCATAGACAAACTGAAAAAAGGTAAATAACATTCTCCTGAAATTATACTGCATGTTGTTGGGAGCATGATACATACGTGGGGTTTGAATGTAAACAACACGCAATGACTGTTTAGCTATCAGGTGCTCATAAAATCACTTTAGTTTAACAATAAATAACGCTTACAATTGTACAATGTAACTTTAAAATTCCTTCTAACAAGGTAAGGAAACACTAGTTGCCTCCCTTTAGTTGCAGTTCAGCTATTTATAAATGTTTCACGTGAGATGAGGCTTAATCCTGCATTCATAATTATTGCACTTACATAGCCACGTACGTGTGTGTGTGTGTGTGTGTGTGTGTGTGTGAGACGTCCTGTTCTATTCCATACTAATGCCGGCTTTGTAGTGCCAATTTTACTGAGATACTATGCCGCAGTTTCACATGTCAAACCCGCTCAGACACAGTACAGGGACTTCCAGTCTTTGTTGTAGCCCCTTAATGGAGAGTACCATCTTCAACATCTTTCAGTGTGAAGAGGCCGGGGAATCGAACCATCGACCCTCCGCTCTCCGAGCAAACGCTCCTTCCACTAGGCGATGGTGTCTTTATAATGGTGTCTGCATAACAAAAATCACCATTTTCACTCAAGGTCACCTTTTGTTTGGTCACCTCTCATTTTCCATTGCAGCAGCTTATTGTCCATGTGACGTCACCGGATGTTGATGAAGAAAGCATTCTCTACTTTATGCTTCAAAGCATGTTTTCATCACTATCTCATATTCATTCCACTCACTTCGTGTGTTGGCCTTTTGACATGTTCCATGAATACGTGGACATCAACCAGGAAATAATAACTGGACACTTCCCATCACCCTTTTGGACACGTGCAATGATAACTAATTATAAACCCCGGATAGGGAAACACGACACTCAAATTACAGGGGGTCAGAATGGACCGGGAGTGTAGTTGTATTCGACAGCGCGATCCTCGACTAAATTGGAATGTGTGGTCGAAGTCAGGGATTTTACGTGTCCTCACATAGTTGTTTGTCTTGACATATGATTTGTTTGTTTGTTGTCCAACGCTGCTCTCAGCAAATATTCCAACCATATCACCGCGCTTGACAAATGAGATATGAGATATTTTCTCGCATTATAATCGGCATAAATAATGTCATCAATTGAAATATCATGATTAAATTAAGCCCGACATCTGAAAATTTGAAATATTGTACATTCGCGCATTACATGCTCAACATCTTTGAAAGGGATCTCTACATTGACAAAACGAGACACAATTTTATAATTGGATGTTTTCTGTTCAGATACATAAAATATGACAACTACATGCTAACTTATGGTACTGGGGTATAGAGGACATGAACACACAATACACGTTAAATAATTGTTTGTGTTGAAGGCGATGTCATAAACATGCTTTTATCTTCAGCTTATTTTATTTGAATTTTAATAACGTAATTTGTGAAAATGTGTGGAAGTTACATCGACGAAACAATGTCCAAGCAACAGGGTTAATGTCATCGAGTTTGCATAAGATCATCTGAGTTATCTACCATCTTCAAACGAAATGTCATTGAATGAGCTCAGGGCTTTCAATAGGTTTCGGGAAATTAGTTCCAGGCAGTACATACATGTAAACACGCGCTTTGGTATTAAACACCAGCTAATTGTTTTTCAACAGTGGTATCTTAAACGGGCGAGTAATAAACGGGAAATACCTCGGACAATAGCTAACATTAAATACGAGGGGCGTTCAATAAGTTTTGCAACTTGGGCATTTGTGTTTACACAAACAATGTCAACTTGTGGCCGGTGTGACACCTGTCATAACATCAGGTTGACACGTGTCATGACAGGTTCAAGACACAGCAATAAGTTAGATGTGATGGCTTCAATCACAATCATGGATTCTCTCAAACATGAACAACGTGCTGTAATAAAGTCCCTCACCAAGGAGGCATGCAAAGCAAAAGTGTAAAGTGATGGGTAAGGATGCTCTTGACTATTCCACAGTTTGCCGTTGGTCACTACAGTATAAAAGGGGTAGGGAGTCCATAGGCCTTCAGATTCCACCCAACCGGAAACCATTGCTGCTATGGAAAGAAGAATTTTGTCTGACCGACGAGTGAAAGAATCTGAACTTTCTAGGGAATTCCAAATATCAGTTGGAACTGTTGGAACCATTATTCATGAGCATCTTGGTGTGTCCAAGGTATCTACAATATGGGTATCTAGAAACCTCAGAGCTCAAGATCGCCATCAGAGAACTGAAAGTTGTCGAGAGATCCTCGATCTCTATACTGATGATGAAGCCAGATTTCTTTCTCGTCTTGTGACAGGTGATGAAACATGGATCCACCACTGGGACCCAGAAACTAAATTGGAATCCATGCAATGGAAGCAACCCAATTTTCCGCCTCCGAGGAAGTTTCGCACTCAACCATCGGCTGCAAGGTAATGGTCACCATATTTTTGGATGCAAGAGCCATATTACTGATTGATTACATGCCACCAAAAACTACAATCAATGGACAGTATCATGCTTATGTAATGAAAGAATTGCGAAAATTTATTCGCCAGAAACGCCGTGGGATGTGAACACGTGGTATTCTACGTTTGCATGACAACGAAACGGTTCACAAGTCGAGAATTGCACAGGCCGCCATATGTGAATGTGGATTCGAACTGTTAAATCACCCACCCTACAGCGGAGACTCGGCCCCCAGTGACTATTTCCTGTTCCGGCAAATGAAATCTGCCCTACGTAAAGAGCGTTCAAGATGACTAGGACAAAAAGGCTGCCACATAGGCGTGGTTAGAGGGCCAATCTGCAGATTTCTTTAAAACTGGTACTAAAAGCGTAAAGGACAAATGGAATAAGTGTATTAACGTGAATTAGGATTATATTGAAAAATAAAAGTGCAAAAGATATTCTGCCACTTCTTATATTGAAGTTGCAAAATTTATTGAACGCCCCTCGTATGTATTCACTGTTTAGAAAGTTTCATCCAATCAATGATGCAAGACAATACATACTTGTGAGGTCAACTCTGCCTATGTGCTCATCTACAGCCCACGACTCAAGGGGACAAACCCCTCGATCCAATTCTCAGAGATTTGGTCTAGTTTCATTGTGCTTTAGGAGTAAATGAGAGAAAATATACTATTTCTAATCGTTTCTGTTTACGACCAAGACAGCTGTGGATAAAAGAATCAAACCAAATGTGAAATATATTCTCCATTGAAAGTAGGGGATCACGAAATATAAATGTTGTGATCGGTCGTCAGGAGAAGAGGAGGTTTAAACAGTGTATAAATCCAGGCCTGCATAAACCATCAAAACATGGACATGTCTACAGGAGTCCTAACGAACATTTTACTTTTTGAGAATTCACATGATATGAAACCCACTTGTCCTAAATACTGTCCAAAAAAAGTCAAACAAAATATTTGAGTTTTCGAGAAACTACATATTACTTGCAATTGTCCAAAATACTTTATGTTAATAAAGTGAGCGGTGCGGTAGCCTTGTGGTTACAGCGTTTGCCTGTCACGCCAAAGGCCTGAGTTCGATTCCCCACATGTGTACAATGTGTGAAGCCCATGACTGGTGTCCCCCACCTTGAGATTGCTGAAATATTGCTGAAAGCGACATAAAACCATACACCAAGCTCTGGAATCAGGACGGATGGACGCCGGACGTCAGAACATATGCTCACTTACTATTCGACTCTTTAAACACCATCTCCTAATCGGTGTTAGAAGTTAAAACAGAACTTCACGTACCTGTCCAATACCTCTTTTTTTCACGTTCAACTCTTCAGAGGTTTCTTTAATATGTCCGACATGGCATTCTTTGTCCAGCGGAGTCCTCATTGCAATAAGTTGCTGAAAGGAGATAAAAAATTGAGCTAACATAAATAGGTGATCTGTTCCGCTGTAAACATCTATTCCAGCTGTATCACCCTGTAAATTACCGAGACTTGACCAGGCAGATCTGCAACAATCAGCACAATTAGGACATCCAATCACAGTGACGACATGCAATCACGGTGACTCTCTTACAAATCCATGTTAGTTATGCATTTATACGTATGTTACTTGGTACCAATTTCACCCAAGTTTTACAAGGGAGTAGTGGTGTTTAGAATTAGGAGATAAACCTCTTGTGTTTTGAAATTTGATGTCGCCTCCCTGTAGAGTGGATACCTCTTATTTTATTTTGCAATTGAGTGCTTTAAGTCTGTGGACAATATACATAATAGCCAGCTTCAATCCATTTTGATCAAAATAGAAACCCAATTTTCCTCTTCATGCAATGCACGAAAATCGAACTGTGCTTTCCGAGTTTGAATAACTATCTCCCTTTATGCTCGAACATGTTTAATATATGTGTTTGTAAACCACATGCCATGGAACATTTGAGTGACTGTAAACACTAAAGCAATAACTGCCCACACAATATTTGGATAAATATATAAATGTAGTCCTCCATTCGACGAACTATAAATAAATGATGGGCATAACATTGATTTAAAGAAACTTTTCATGGACGTTATAACTGGATGACCTTGTTAATTGCGGGATATTTTTGCAAATGAATATAAAATTCCCATGATGATGATGATGATGATGATAATAATAATAATAATAATAATAATAATGAACAACTTCGGGCAGAGAACAAACGTAGACTTCTTGAAATCTGAAATCTGTAGTTCAGAGTTGAACGCTCGCAAGCAAGTCAAAGCCACAAATTCTTATGCGGTACCGGTGTATTCGTATTCTTTTGGTGTTGCTGATTGGACGAAACACAAAATCCAGGGTATTGACACCCTTACACGAAAAATCATGTCAGACAATAGATCCCACTACCCTCGCTCTTCCCTCAATCGCTTATATTTGCCAATCATTATGGGAGGGCGTGGTTTGATTAAGGTTTGGGCTCTTCATGACATAATTGTTTTGTGCGCTTTTGCACACATATATTTGTCTGATGATCCTCTTGTGAAGCATATCAAGACTCATGATGAAAACAAGGCATTCCACAGTTCCACCGTTAATGTGTGATTTTGCATCAAAATGGTGATATGAAATGTAGATTATGTAATGAATTTAATAAGACTGTCCAACACATTGTCAGTGGATGCCCAGTTTTGCCACAAACACAGTATCTCAAGCGACATGATGGAGTGGCTCGATCATTTTATTACCGTCTTTGCCATGTTTGTGGTTTTGACACAGAGGTCCATCTATGGTACGACCAATGATCAATACAAATTCTTTGAAATAGGCCCGAATACAGCCTCAGACGTTCCCAGGCCAACAAACCTGATCTTGTCCTTTTTGATAAATCCAATGAATTTTTTATATTATTGAATTTTCTGGCTCTTTTGACATCCCAAGTACCAAGTTGTCCGACTCCCCATTGTCCTCGGTGACTAAGGTTTGGTACCTCCCAATCTGTTGACTAACATTGGGAGAGTATCCGTGATTGCTACCAGGAATACAGCCCTGTTGACAATCTTGGTAATGCAGAAAGCTGCAGTGTTCGGAAGTCTTCATATTCTCTGAAAAGCTCTGGGTGGGTTTGACAAGGCAGCGCTTCCTGGGAGAAGTCTCATTCACTGTCTGGGCTGCTTGTAGAGGGGGCAAGGGCCCTGAGCTGATGATGAGTCTGACCAGCCTGACTGTGCCATGATCACCCGAACCCTCTTTGCTGCATTTTTTTATTTTAATCTGTACATAATGATAATGATAATAATACTAATACACAGTGAAATGTAAGCACTGTTATAAATGTGTGTACATGGAACATTCATGGACACTAGAACCGGGTGTGAATTAGATTATATTTTCAATGTTGGTACTGAATATTTATCCACAGATGAAGATTACAAGTCAGATTATTTTGGCTGCAATAGAAAAAAAAACCTTGATAAACTTGATGATAAGATTGGTAGAAGTCTATTAGATTTATGTAAGCTGTTTCGTGTACATATTGTCAATCGGAGATCTGTACTGGATAGCTCTGGTTATTTTGCCTTCATCTCTCGTACAGGTTGCAGCGTTGTAGATAGTTTTATTGTATCTACTGAGTTATTTCAAAATGTATCAGATACACCTGTATGTCAGTTTCACAGAGACTGATCACTTACCTATAGTATGCAGTTTCAAGGATATCGTTACTGGTGGTGTCTACAAGGAAAGTACTGCTTCTGTTAATTTATCCTATGTTCCTAAATATGAATTATCTTCAGAACAATTTTCATCATATGTTAAGTATATCAGCGAAGATATTTGTAAAGTGGTTTTTGAAGAATATATATTGTTGGTAGGTCAAAATGTAAATGCTGCAGTATGTTAGCCCAGGGATATCATACTGTACTGTACAAAGACAGCGGATGCTGTTTCTTTTGGAACTTCAGGTAGACAAAGATATCAGCCTCCGTGCTTTTATTAAGGAGTGCGAGTTTTTGAAGTCCGATAAATACAGAATTTTGAATAAATTTAGAAGGTGTAAGTGTGATTCTAACTTAGAGCAATATATATCAGCCAAATGTGGGTTTACGAAATGTAGTAACGTACAAAAAGAAACTTAACTACGACTTACATCTAAATGAAGAAGTCAGTACCGCTGCTAAACACAGTTATTGTAAACAGTTTGGTTGACAGTGAAAGGCCATACAGAGACGTCCACTGAGAAGTAACATATCTCAAAGTGACTGGCTGATTTACTTTAGAGATCTTCACAGTTCCTTACAGGGAACTGATAAGAATGAGTTTGATTGTGTTGTGGAGGAGTTTCTGCTCTCTCATACATGTGATAACTGCAATGATTTACCCTTTTCGGATGAACTCATGTCAGGCGAGATCACTGAAAGAGAGGTCACGGACGCTATCAACAATCTGAGTACGGGCAAGTCCACAGGTGAAGATGGGATACCCCCTGAATTCTTTAAAGTACCAGTGGATCTCTTTTTATCCTTACTTTAAGTTGTTGTCACTACTAAACATTATGGGAAACATCGTCACGTCAATCATAGAAAAACGTTTGAGAAAATGGATCGAAGTAAATGATTAACTGCCCGAGTCTCAAGCAGGGTTCCGGCCACACTACTCTACTGTTGATAATTTGTTTGTTTTACAAGCTCTTTGTTTGGAATATTTGTGCAAAACCAGAGGTCGCTTTTATTGTGTGTTTATTGACTTTAAAAAAGTCAATTATTGACTATGTTAATAGGAAAACAATATGTCTTGCCTGATGCCTGATAGATACTCATATTAGTATTACAAAATATTAAAAGTACGTAATGATAATGGTGAAAATAATTGGGTTTCAGAACGGATAAATCTATTATTTGTTAGTGGCTTTTCATATGTATGGATTTCCCAAGATGACTTTATAATGATGAATGTGAAACTTGATTAAAAATCTAATCATGTGCATCACGTGACAACTTTAATATCCAATCTGCATTGTACTATGGGCCTTGATGCCTAAAATACTGAATAAACTGAACTGTCTAATCAATACAATGGTACAATCATAAATGTACTTACTGTAAATTTACTTAAATTTCGAGATCATTAATATATTATCTGCATTCTGAAGAATGTTTCATGACATATACATGTATGAACAGTATAAATAATGCCGATATATCTGATTGATGTCAAGTAGAACTTAACGAAAGTACATGTGTGTAAAATACATTGTATTTAAAACAAATATCAGCCATCTTAGTGACACCTGAACCCATTGATTTGTGAAAGTTTATGACCATATCTAAACACAAATCGATCGTATTTGCGTCACGATATCCCTAGTATTTCAGTCTGCCAACCCACCCACGATTTTGTCATTTGAAGTTTTAAAATGAATAATATAGTTAATATTGGTCGAACTCAGCTGAATATTCTAGCTTGACAGAAACAGCTGATTATCTTGAAATGTTTGTCTGTACGAGAAAGCTAAATGTCAATTTCACCGAAAATTCTTGAAAAAATTAATTATACTTCAGACTATTGAAAAATAGAAATTGTCTGGCGGGATTTTTGTTTGAGATCAGCAATTGTGTTCTTAATGTTTAGGAGCTAAGTAATAGTTTTTCAACACAAAAATAATCATAAATTATTGATATATGTAAATATCATTTAATGTCAACACCGAAGCAATGGACGTACAGCAACTCACATAATGTGGGCGTATCTGAATATTTCTGTGAGGAGTTACTTTCAGTTTTGACAGATTGACCACATCCATAAAAAAAATGTGTTACAATTAAACTTCTTTCTTGGTAACAAAATCCCTGTGGAGTATCGTTTATCATGAGGGATAATTGTGTAAATGGCAGATGAGTCAAACTTTTTAACTGGAATTTATATCCGGGTTTGAAACTCAGGTTCATTAACACATTAACTGATCAGTCCTTGTTTTATCCACTAAGTGCCGTGAAAAGCTAGTACCATCTTTTAACGTCTTATGCGCTAAGCGTACATGTTTACTTGCGACCGTCAAGTTAGCATCTCCTTTGTTTCTTCCTTGCCATGGATGATATTTCAATGTCGTGTAAAAGACACGCGAGATATGCCCAGACACTGTCACTTCAACCGCCTACGTCTGTGTATTACAACGTGAACCGTAATGAATACATCCATATGCGCCCCCTATGTCAGTAAACCATCGGTGCAAAGTTGCCTCTACTTGTCTCGCGGTTGTGTGCCTGTCTGAATCAGAAATTCACCCAACATTGCAAGTTTTCACGTTTAAATATTATAGGTGTATAAAATTGCATCTCATATTAAACAATGAGATATAGATGAGAGCAAATTCATGTATATCCACGAATCATTGCAATTTGTTAAACGATAACAACATGTGTTCTCCAAATATGCATTGTACAGTAATGCGCTTTATTTTGTGGCAATGAAAACGATTACCAGTAACCTATTACGATATTCTCTTCACAGATAACTATAGTATGTAGGAATTGCATACAAAATTAGAACAATGTGTAGAACTAATTATGGTCACTTCTCAGGGGACTGCCAAACAACAAAACTGTCTAAACAATCATTTGTTCCACTTCTGAATGATTGTGACTGCGGGTATGTGCCATATGCAAGTCACGTGTTAGTCCTCTCATCGAGTGTGACTGGATGTTTGTACAACTGACGTGTGTTACACATTAGATATAAATGCCGATGAGTAAAACGACTTGTTACAGACGGCGGTTGGACACTGAACAACATTCAAGTACTGGTTCTTCTACGGTAGGAAAGGCCAGTTAGTTTCTTATCCTTTTTACTGTTGTCTGATTTCTCATTTCTTCATACATCTCCACACCGTTATCTCCGTTTAGTAGTCTGTATTAATTTCATGTTTCAGTCTAAAATATCCACAATAAAGAGGCACCTTCTGGGTTTTGTTCTCATTTTGTCTTCTGCAGTAGCGTATGAGGCAAGTGTTTGTTTGTTTGTCGTTTAAGGCCGCACTCATTAATATTCCGGGTATATGACGGAAGTCTGTAAATAATCGAGTCTGGACCAATCCAGTGAAGGATATCACGAGCATCGATCCACGCAATTGTGGCAATGACATGCAGCAACAAAGTTCGCGAGCCCGACCACCCGATTACGGCAAGCATGGGTTGCCGAAAGCCTGTTATAACTCGGATCTTCAAGGGTAGAGGGGCGTCTATGAGTGAAGGAGAGTGCAATGAATGTATGCCATACCATGTTGAAATGTCAACATTGCACATTGTCCATGAAGTAAAACAAATGAATAGTGGTACCTCCGATTCCAGGTAGGATGTGAGGTGATCTAAGATGGGATTTAACGTTGCACTTAGGATCATTGCACTCACATAGACGTGCATCTGCAGCTGCTCTCTGGGCGCACGCTCTATCCACAAAAGGTTAGAATTGGTTCCAAACAACCTATACTGGTCATTAGAGGCGAATAAATGGATTGGGTGACTTGTTTGAAAGCAACGGCGTGGATCGCTGATCATTATTTCAATCATTGGATTGTCTGGTCCAGATTCGATTAATAACAGATCGCCGCCATATGGTTGGCATATTTCTGAGTTAAACATGTCCTGCTCTGCAAACACACTAAAGCAAATACAATTAATTATTCACCCTGTCAAGAATCCTCAGAAAGATTTCGACCTGTGAAGATACGGAGTAGAATTTTCAGCAACCCATGTTTGCCGCAAAAGGCGACTAAGCTTGTTGTAAGAGGCGACTAACGGGATCGGGTGGTAAGGCTCGCTGACTTGGTTGATGCATGTCATCGTATTCCATTTGCGTGGATCAATAATGCTCATATTATAGTGCCGTGAAAATCACGGGGTAGAGTAGGTCTTCTGCAACCCATGATTGCCGTAAAAGGTGACTATGCTTGTCGTAGAGGCGACTAACGGTCAGGCTTGCTGTCTTGGTTGATGCATGTCATCGATCCCAATTGCATGGATCGATTCTCATGCTATTTATCACTGGGTTGTCTGGGCCAGACGCCGACGTAAAACAACAAACAAACCAACCAAAGCTCATATTGTCAGTCACATGATTGTCTGGATCAAACTCGAATATTTACAGGTCGCCGCCATACAGCTGTAATATTGTTCAGTGGGGCGATAAACAACAAACAAACAGAAATAATTAATTCAGTTCTTAAAATACCGATCTCTGATCTCAATTTTTGTATGGAATTTTCTGACAATGATACTTTATGAATTGAATTCAAATTTCTTAAAATTAACAATCAGTTTATCGTGTATGTTTTGTTTATTTCTTATTGTGCTTGGAACAGTCCTGACTGCGACGTTAAGCAACAATTTGGCGTAACATGAAGCATGTCCAGTTATGATTCCGAGTGAAAATGCACATCTCAAATACCCACAAAACAAAAGAGCCGTGAAGATCTGGGGTAGGGTAGGTCTTCAACAACCCATGCTTGACATACAAAACGACTATACTTGTCGTAAGGGGCGATTTAAGGGATCGGTTGGTCAGGCTCGCTGAATGGTTGATGCATGTCATCGTCTTCCAATTGTGTGGATCGTTGTTCATGATGTTAATCACTGGATTAATCAACAAACAAACAAAATAAAAACTAATTAAAAAGGGGATTGGTTGGTCAGGCGCCGTAACATGGATGGTTGTGTGTGTTTTTCCGGTGTCGTTGGACTTTGAGTATGGTACTACCACTGATTCCTTTGTCCGCCCACTTACACACAAAACATACAACGTTTGTTCCATTTGGTTTTGGTTTTGGTTTGGCGACAGATTATTGATATACTAGTATTCATAATGTGAAATTCGTAAGTGTTTAGACGGTTTGGCAAATCACACATGTCATATAGCTCTGATGAACAGCACGCTTGATAAATTAAGATAAATGCCACAAGGATATGCTTTGCCTGCTTTCTTCGATTAGGAACCTGTTTGGGGATTCAGTTACTTTGTGGAGTGTCACTGCAACGATGGTGGAAAGTTGGACGTTTCGCATGTGAAGTTTAGACTGTTCTTACAAGCATTGAACATCAGGGTTGAGAGTGAAAAAAACACAGTTTTTCAGTTGAGGCATATTTATTTGTTGCTGATAGCAGATAAGGAAGTAAAATCCTCAAAAACAAAACTCTTAAACTTGAACAACATGTAGGACAACATAAAACCGACTGTACGACTAAAGTATGTGTGAAAATGTAAATTATTGAATAATAGTAAAATACTTTGTTCATTGTAAATAAAAAAGTGTAATTTCTTCACTTATAACATGACACAGGGGACTATGCAGTAATAAAAAACATTTATAACGGTTTGCAGAAACATCATCAGATAGAATCCTGATGTAAAAAACTACAAAAATAAATCCCATGCTATGAATATGACCAAAGCACATAATATACAGGAGGCTACAATCAGTTCGGTCCGAACATGATCCAATGAAGTTCAAATATGTTTCATAATAACCGACATTTTGTTATATTCAACCCCGTTATGTCTGGCATATATTCGCTTGAACTGAATATTCCTGTAGCAGTGACAATCGTGATCATCCTTTGTTGAGGTACTTTGTGCGACGAAGCCTTAAAAGCAAAATACGTTGCTGGTAAAGGATACAATGTTACACAATACACGACTATTTTGATGTTGGCTTGTCTTCCCCGAGACACAGAGGGAAACCGCATTGAAACACATTCACATCCCTGTTGTAGTACTTGCCTGACGTACGTGAATCAACTGCCCCATTGAAATCTGTTGAAATATTCTATCACGAATTTTCTTGTACATTGATATTCGGTTTTGCCATATATTTTAACTGATCGCGCTTTTGCCCTTTTTTGACATTCGTAATACGATTGAAGACAACGACACATAACGTAGTCAAATATGTACAATGTCGTTATTCAAACAGCCCAATGCAATACGCCCGGGGTGGAAACATCTAAAATAAATATGTGTTGCAATGAAATAAGTATAAATGTAAAAAACATGACAACCAATACGACCAATAGCATAATAGAGAAATGTCCCTGTAACAATATTAAAGTTTAAAGAATGTGAAAGAGAAAAACGCACAAATATGAATTTAAAATGTTACATAAACTAATGTACAAAAGAATACCAACTAACAAGTTTTCCACTATTTTGATAATTAAAAGGCACGTTTCAAGGCACCCGTTTCATCATTACTAGGTTGATGCAACATTTACAACAGACAGGACAGACATTAGACAGGCATAGAAGCGGGAGACTACGGGTGACCACGCGGGTTGAAGACCACCCAATCCGGCCCTTTCATCGCCGAAACCGCTTAATCAAAGTTCGAGTTCGACGTTGGCAAGAGACTGATGGCACGTCATGTTCTCCGATGAGAATTGATTTTGCTTGTACAGGTTGCAGACTAAAAACGTTGGGATTTAATTGAGTGTTACCCTCGTCTCTCTTCATGTAACATGTGTCAATACATGTTGATACAATACATCGAGAGTTCCCGAAAATATAAAACTGTATCAATAAGAGTTGATATTTTTCATATAAAAAGAGACGACGGTAAGGTTCTGTTTACGGCAAACAGATCGCCAACGTCGACAGCACTGTCAAGAGCAGGCAGGTGTTCGGGTGTCTTGTCTGGTACGGCAAATAGATCGCCAACGTCGACAGCACCGTCAAGAGCAGGCAGGTGTTCGGGGGTCTTGTCTGGTACGGCAAACAGATCGCCAACGTAGACAGCACCGTCAAGAGCAGGCAGGTGTTCGGGTGTCTTGTCTGGTTCGGCAAACAGATCGCCAACGTCGTTAGGAGCAGGCAGGTGTTCGGGTGTCTGGTCTGGAACGGCAAACAGGTCGCCAACGTCGACAGCACCGTCAAGAGCAGGCAGGTGTTCGGGTGTCTGGTCTAGTACGGCAAACAGATCGCCAACGTCGACAGCACTGTCAAGAGCAGGCAGGTGTTCGGGTGTCTGGTCTGGTACTGCAAACAGATCGCCAACGTCGACAGCACTGTCAAGAGCAGGCAGGTGTTCGGGTGTCTGGTGTGGTACGGCAAACAGATCGCCAACGTCGACAGCACCTCCAAGAGCAGGCAGGTGTTCGGGGGTCTTGTCTGGTACGGCAAACAGATAGCCATCGTCGACAGCACCGTCAAGAGCAGGCAGGTATTCGGGCGTCTTGTCTGGTTCGGCAAACAGATAGCCATCGTCGACAGCACCGTCAAGAGCAGGCAGGTATTCGGGCGTCTTGTCTGGTTCGGCAAACAGATAGCCATCGTCGACAGCACCGACAAGAGCAGGCAGGTGTTCGGGTGTCTTGTCTGGTACGGCAGTTAAATATAGAATCATGGTGTTTATATTCCAACAAGTAACAACATATTATTCTCCCTAGATATTCTTTCTGAAATTATTAAGCTTCACCGAGAAGGCAACACTATATCTATAATCACAACTCAAATACAGTAGTCAGATGTGTGAGGAAGTGAAGAACACCGCAACTGTAAAGACTTACTAGTTAAGTGCTCTTTCTTGTCACCAGGTTCAACTTGGTTTCTGAAAAGGAATATCATTTTTTTTAAAGTTATTGCGTGTTTCAACTCTGGAATAAATAATTGCAAATCATAATAGCTAACATTACATAGAAACCTATACGAAAATACGATCTTTACACATTAGCAATGTGGCAGGAATAAGTCCTTAACATTTACATTTTACATTTTTCATTTTTAAGACCCGTGAAGATTCCAGAGTGGAATAGGTCTTCAGCAACCCATTCTTGCCGCAAAAAGCGATTATGCTTGTCGTAAGAGGCGACTAACGGGATCGGGTGGTCAGGCTCGCTGACTTGGTTGATACATGTCATCGATCCAATTGCGCGGATCGATGCTCATGATGCCATTCACTGGAATGTCTGATCAAGGCTCGATTATATCATATAGCTGGAATATTGCTGAGTGCGGCGTTAAACAACAAACAAACAAGTTAAGAAAGTTCACATTTAAGGAGATATTATTGATCGGGTGACTTGTGTCATCGTATCCGAATAGGTGTTAGGCGTTGCCTGTAATATCAATAACAAGTGTGTCTATTTATAGCCCATCGTCCCTCAACAACATGTTATCAAACAATCACACTTGTTAATACAATACAAATTTGAAAATATTTTAAAACTTATAAAAGGTCGTGTTCAGCCACTTGAGGATACACAAAGTGCACTTTTTTCAAGCAGCTGCATTATAAAAAACAAAACAATTTAGAAGTTTTCAAGTGAGGTGAGGTTAAATGGGGTTTAACGTCGCGTCCAAGATTATTGCACTTATATAGCGACGTGCATGTACGTGTGTGTGTTTGTGTGGCTGCTTGTACTAGTCCGGACTGATGCCGATTTATAGTGCTAGCTTACTGAGATACCATGCCGCAGTTTAACATGAATACCCCATTCAGACACAGTATGCTGACTCCGAGCCAACCAGTCCTTGTTTTAGCCCCTTCATGCCGAGCGCCAGACAGGCCAACAACAAGTACCATATTTCAAGGTATTTTGGTATGACGCGGCCGGGGATCGAATCCCGAACCTTCCGCTCTCCGGGCGGACGCTCTACCACAAGACCACGGAGGCGGTCTTGAAGTTTTGAAGGATTCAAGTGAATTACCTGTGATCAGGGCTGTTGATGTGTATGTTAATTCTGTAAATATAAACATTTCAATTGAAGGCGACAAGATCAACCATCTCTATGGAGAGTTATATAGTGATAACAATCAATTAATTCCTACTCCATATTAATAGGAAACCTCCGCCTTAAACACAGTCGATTGATCGATTCCGACTGTATCATGATTATGTGTTTATGAATCACTATCAAATAGTGAGAAGACCATGGCCAGGTGTTTGTGAAAAGGTGAGCGTATCTAGTCCCATCGGCGATACCCGTCAGAAACACATACAAAGACAAGTCATTTGATCACCTGAAAAAAAACACCTGACCATATGGTACAAGTCAAAATAGGGAATTGGATCGAACATCAATTTTGTCACTGCTGCGTCAGTTTTGTCCTCCACATGTCTACCATAAACTTTTTGAAAACTTTGGGCCTTGAATGTTTCTTTGAATGTTGTAACCTTGATCAAACAGCTCCTGAGCAAGAGGTGTATGACGCTCCTTGAATTCTTGGCAGAAAGGGCATGCTCGATTGTACCTCAAAAGTTGTGCAATATAGACACCAAGAGCTGGAGCTGTAGGAATATTGCTCTACATAAAAGAACAGTGGATGATTAGAAAGTTGTGGAAAGAGTTTTGTCACTCTAAAATTTTCTAAATAAATCTCCTTTATTTCGGGTTAGGTGGGTAAATCAGTGGATTGATTGTTATTGAACGATATGAGATAATCGATAAACCCATGGCGACTCATACGGGCATTGCTTGATGTAATTCAAAACAGACATACAGTAGAAGTAATTGACATTTTACTCACGTAACATTAGTAGGGGCTGCTGTTAGCTCTGCACCATTGTCTGCATCGCTGTGAGCTTCGAACAGACATGACGATCATTTCAATTTGTTCTCTGCATTATTTATAATATTTCTATAATTAATACTTTTGTGATGGTTGCGGATGACATTCAAATAAGATTTTATTAAAAGCTGAAATAAAGAGCTGTCGATTATTACGTTTATGAAACTGACATTTAATCGTAATATATGTACTGCTTAACGTTGACACAACTGCTATATGTTCCAACCGTCATAAAAGACGTAGTTTACCTTCTGTTACTGCTCCCTTTCTTCTCTTCCTCACAACACATACACAGATAACGATTATAATAAAGAGCACGACGCAAACTACCGCCCAAACCGAGATGTATATGGCTTCATCTTGAAAAGAAAACAAATACTGGGCAAATTTACTCTTCGTGAAATTGGCACATGTATGAGTTTATATTAGTATGAACTATAATATGAAGTAATTTATTTGATAATGTTTCACCATAAATAACTTAGGTTGATTGGGAAGTTTTGTTTTCAAAAGGGAAAAGTGGTCGTTTATATATATATTATTGATACGAGTAACCTGATCTTTTGCAGTACTGTAAAAACACTAGATTTTGGGCATGGAAAGCAGATATGCATATTGTATGTAACTACTCATACTAGAGGTGTCTGTATATCAGTAGCCTATGATTGCCATGATGGCCGACTAACACTGGAATCCAATGGATCAAATTTGTCCTCTACACCCGATGACGTTAATCAACACGTCGTTAGTAATGGGTGTAGGGTCCATGCTATTTTTGCCATGCTACTTGTGGTGTGACTACAATATGGCTTGCTTTGTTATTCATAATCGTTATTCACTCACAGTGACTTAGCTAAGTCAGTATCCGTATTCGAACAAACTGCAGCAATAAAAAACCGTGCACAAAAACGTAATATCTGGAGCTATGATATCGAATATCACAATACTCTCTCTTCAAATAAATGCCGTTCAGTGCACATTGGTGGTAAGTCGTGGATCCTGCATTAGTTTATGGTTTTGTTATACATCCATGCATGTTTCTAAATATCATATACATCGTACCCATAGGTCAGTTGACGACGAGTACACAACTACCTTTATTATCGATTTTCGGGGCAGTAGTTATCTTGATAGATGTTAGTTTTGCCAACGTTGTTGTTGAATCAATCAGTTGTGAACTTGTCTTATAGCCAGTCCCTGGAAAACCTGCTGACAAATAATAAAACCCAAATAGTTATGAAATTTGCTAGCCCACCTCAGAGGACATAACATAACACATTACAGTAGTTTGAATAATCAGATAGCCGAACCAACATCAGCTATGTTTGGGTGTTTTGAGCGGACGTTGGGACATTTGCATACAGGTCGAGTTACTAACTAAACTGTGTGGGAAAATGGAGACATATAATATACGAAGGATTTAAAAAACTCTCAGATCCGACCTGAGGTTATTAAAATGGCTTTCGTCGTCATAAATGTGAATGACATAACTAGTATCAATAAATGTTTCTCTGCATATGATATACATCGTAAGTTTACCTGATACAAATCTACCATGAGTATCGCTGTCTGTAGTGATCGTTGTTGCTGAATCAGTTAGTTGTGTAGATGACTCTTCAGTCGTCCCTGGAATGTCTGCATACATAAATAACATATAGTAATCTATGTTTATAACGAACACGCTTATAACGAACTGATCGTCATAACAAACTTATTTTTAGTCCCGACCATTTGTTGTAAATATGCTGTACATATGCTCTTAACGATCTACATTTATTACGAACTAAAATTAGTGGTCCCGTTGAGTTCGTTATAACCATAGTTTACTGTATATTAAATGTGACGGTTCCCAGCTCAATATCGATACATATGAACAATCTATTTTGACTGCATCCGTGGATTTGTCGGTTTGGACTTAATGTACTGAATGGAGCATTCATGTTAAACTGTGGTGTCTGAGTGGACAAGTAGCCACACACACATTCACACACAGTCCCGTGAAGATCCGGGGTAGATTAGGTCTTCAGCAACCCATTCTTGCCGTAAAAGGCGACTATGCTTGTCGTAAGAGGCGACTAACGGGATCGGGTGATCAGGCTCGCTAAAGCATGTCATCGATCCCAATTGCGTGGATCGATGCTCATGATATCAATCACTGGATAATAATAATAATAATAATAATAATAATAATAAATTTATATAAACAAAGAGTCCAGATATTCGGGCTTGTCAAAACTCCTTTATCCCCACATTATCATTATTATCATTGCAGATTGGACACCGGAATGAAAATTAACATTAACATTAGTGAATTAATTGGATCCGTAACAGGGGGTTACTTGAAGATGCAAGTGTTGTGCGGAGCAACAATCCATGCCGTAAGGGTTCGTCGACACGCAGCCAACCAAGCAGCCTTGGTGTGACCACCCAATCGAATAATATGGCATACAACTAACTCAGAATGCCCACGTAGGTGATGCAAATGAAGTACGCCGCGCACTACTCGTATAATCGACGAGCATGGTTAACAAAACATCGTTATCATGAACGGATTGTTGCAAAGAAGGACGTTAACACTGAACTGAGAGCTCTATGCCACCGAAAATGAATGAATGTTAGTTTCGTAATTATAAGAATGTTGCAATCCGTACAGTGTCGCCACTACTGAAATCGTATAACAAGTTAATCAAAAGTTACATGTAACAACAATATCACATAAGGTCTACTGTTTACCAACCGTACGTGTTTAATGAGGTTGTAATAGAAGCTCGGTGTATTCAGTTAAACACATTAAACATATTTCCACAACAAGTAATGAACAATGTCATACCTCG